GGGGGGGGGGGGGGGTTACGCGGCAGAAAAAATGGGGGTACCCTATCATCGTATATTCGGCATTCGGCCGGGCCCCCTGTTGCTGAGCAAAACAAGATTCCTTATAGCGGGGAGTTTCCTTAACGCGAGCGTCCTTAAAGCGGGTCGACTGTACCAGTGGAAATCGTACGAGCCACACACGCGGTACTTCCCCGTTAAAAATGGTAGGAGGTATCCTTATCTTCCTCCGGAACCCCCGACTTCTATGTGGCGCATTAGTTGGCCTGTGTGCTTTGTCCCCGCCGTTGCTCACCGCACAACTACGGTTTGCCACGAGATCAGGAGGACAACTTACAGGCAGTAAGAATCTCTCTGTCCGCGAACAGTTTTCATGTGGTACTTTGGGGTTGTTGAACTGGGGAAATGGGTGACCATAGCAACTGAAAGCGCGTCGATCGCGGCCATTTTTCTAGCTCTCGGGGCGCATATATCAACGCAGGGTTACTCTCTCGCAGATTGTCCAAACCGTCCAGAACTTGTGGGGCACAAGTCAGTTGCCAACTTACACCCTATGTTTGTCGGCACGTACTTGGGATCGACCTTTCGGTATTCGCAGTCGGCCTGCAAACGTTGATTCAACCAAATCTCAACTGCAGTGGTTCAGCAAGATGCCCCAAAAGGCGTCTGACTCGAACATGAGAGACCTTTAGACCCTAGTTGCTCGTAAGATTGGCCAAATCAATCAGAACTTGGTGATTGCACAAGTTGAGGTGCGCACTTGCACCCTATTCGGGCACATGTTTGGTATCTGCGCTACAGCAGGAGCTGTTGCAAAGTTACACTTCATGCCAACAGGACAAATCGCTGTTTGCAACGTCGTAGACAGGACTGACTATCCGTATCAAAGCAAAAACAAGTTGGACGGAGCCCGGCAACACGTGTGGTCCCCTACCACACTGTGACTGCATCGCCGCCGCTAAAACTCAGAAACCCACGACCACACCAAAAAGTGCTGCTCAACAACGAGGAAAACACGAAAATACCTTCACTTTTTACACTCAGGCCAACGGCTAACCAGCCCGAGTCCGAGCCCCGGCACCAGCCCGAACCCAAGCCACGGCGAGTAGAATGTTCAGCTCCGTAGCCTCATACCAACTCCCCGTCTCTCTCCTCTTCATCTAGGTCGAATCCGACATCCTCGTCGTCGTCGTCGTCATCGTCAAAATCTGCAGCATTCCCCTCTTCGTCGAACTCGAACGTGAAGAAATCATCCTCTGTTACACCCTCAAACCCTTCAATTTCTTCTTCACCATCGTCTCGCAATGCTGCCTCGTTGCCGTCGTCATCCCCGGAGACTCTGTCGATCAAAGCCATCAGGTCCACCGCAGCACTGATGTCGGTGTCCTTGAAGAACAGCTCCGGTACTCGCTTCATGCCCTTCAGCTCCGCGCACAGCGCCATACGTATGGCCTTGGTGTTCTTCACGCACCACGCGTAGGCCTCTCTCTTCTCCAGCACGTCGCCGTACACGGAGATAAACACCTTGGCTGATCGTAGGTCGGGCGACATGTCAACGTCAACCACGGCAATCCTGCATCGCACGTCGTCGTCAATCTTGTCCTTCGTCTTGATCCCATGCCCGAGCCTCAAAATCTTGGCCAGTTCCCCCGTTAAAAGCTGAGATACGCGAGCTTGCCGCTTCGACTCAGTAGTGGAGCGGAATGTACTCCCTCGGGCCATCATCACAGTAGTAGCTGCCGGTCGTCGTTTGCCTGGTGGTGGTTGCACCGCACCAACCCACCCGCACCGTCCATGGCCTGATGCTCCCAAGCGCTGCTGCGGCTGCTGCTGCTGCGAGCACGCTCGTGGCAATACCGACACGCCGACAAAGCTGAGGACTTCGCGGCACCCATAAGCTGTTACGAGCGCGGCTGCGATAACCAGAGAGCGGACAGCCATGGTGGTAGCGGAGGTGTGTGTGTGCGTGGTGGGAGAACGGGACAGCAGCAGTGGTTGGTGCGGCGCAATTACTGCACGTTACGATTCCGCGGGACCCCGTCCACAATTTCTCAAGCGCACCGCGCTCCTGGTGACACAGCTCCACACACCACACACCGCCCTCGCAATATCCTCTGGCTGAGCTATGCTGACTGCATACATTGATTGCTTCTCTGGCGTAGCCGGAGATATGCTGCTGGCAGCTTTGATAGACGCGGTGAGCTTCAACAACACGATGCAAAATGTGCTGTTACCTAAACGCGACGTTGACAACAGCGTTTCTGCTGTTGATGAAAGACGGCCCTGTAGGGCCCGCATACCATGTGTTCGCCCAGCCGGCACTACTCAGAGTATGAGTACCAGGCATACGACATTTTTTTATATTCAATGCTCCGTCTGTGTCACACGATTCTATCGGCCCTGTCATTTTATGCAGGAACCACTCGATTAAAGTGTCCTCCGATATGCAACCAGTCCGTAAAACTTGTGCTCGGTAGATATTATATACTCCAGGAGTAGTTTCCCTTTTCTCTCTCCCTTTAAAATGCTGTTCGTCCAGTTTGCACAAGGTTGCGTACTCTTGACCTTCTCTGCCTGCTTCTCGCTCTGCCTCACGGTACGCACAGGGTGCCCCATTGGAAGCCATTCGGGAGGGGCTTGGGACCATCGCTCCAATTAAGGGCGAGTGGGATATCAATGTGCACCGCGTCACGAAAGGAATGGTGAGGGACTTCAGGCCGTGCTGTATGTTGCACATTGGATTAGCACATGAGTCCTGTTACTGGCCACGACCCGCACTGGACAAAAATTTGAGGTCTGCAAATAGAATAGACTAAGCTGCTGCTGTTCTACAGACAGTTTTGGCTGTTGTAGGCAAACTCAGTAGATAAATTGAAGTATCAAGTCAGCAAATCAGCAGTATCAAGTCAGCAAATCAGCACGTCGTCACCAGGCTCTTGAATGTGCACTTCGTAAAACGGGTTTGTGTTGCCGTGTTTTTCTTTCACAGGGTTCCATCGCGGCTGCCCACGTAGACGTCACCAGCAAATATCAACACCACCCGGTCGCCCCCCCTTCGGCTTCCCCTCATAGCGACCACAGTCACGGCCATAACCATTCCCATGGTCACTCCCACCACCATTCTCATGGCCATTCTCATGGCCATACTGACAATGAGCGCGACGGGCAAGCACAACATCGGAGTGAAGTGATGACCCCTGCAACAACCTCCCGCACAGGTATGTGTCAGAGCGTCTTGCCGCCTTGGCCCACTGAAGCATGTGTAAGGTGTCACATATATCTGTTCCATTTGAGCTAGTAATTGTTGAAACTCCCTCCTCCTGAGAGCTTACATTTGGTCGCTTCCCTTTTGGCGTCACGGGCAGCTGGAAAGAGTGGCTATGCACAGGCCCGATGCCACAGTACTCGTATTGTGTTTCGATCAATTATGCGATTCCTTCGCGTCGTATATGTACCGTGCATGCGTCCTCTGATGAATGTGGCTCTTGGTCCTCGTTGTTATCAGACGGGACCGAGGCTATTGAGGACGGCCCTGTCAGAGACTTGACCACCATCAGGAAGATGATCATGGAGTCGGGTCTGCCACCCGCGGTGAAAGAACGCAGCGTGCGGGTGTTTACTGAACTCGGTGAGGCGGAAGCGAAGACTCATGGCTCGACCCTTGATCAGGTAGGCGCTCTTCTTTTGCACGCGAGTTGCCTGGATTTAGGGTTCTTAGAGGCCGTCTCTGACCCAGTGGTTTGCTATAGGGAGATTGTGTTATGTCTTCCTCCTTGCATCAGCATTTCAGGAATGCTGATTTCGTATCGTCGCGGCAGGTTCATTTTCACGAGGTGGGGGCAGTCGACAGCATCATCGACACGGTAGGGGTCGTGTACGCGCTGCACCTACTTGGCGTTGAAAAGGTCTACTGCTCAGCGCTGCCCTTTTCTGAGGTCAGCGTGTTTGGTGCTTCCGAGTTGCCCTACCGCAACCTTCGCGTTTGTGGTTCGTGTGGCAAGTGCTACACTGCTGAATTACGGCGCCTTGGACCATGCCAAGCGTAGCGCAGGTTTCCGTATTTGAGCACCAGTTGATATCATTCAATCGGAAATCGTGCAATATGAATGGTCTTCGGAGGAGTGTATTTGGACTTGACGGCCAAATCTCAAGTGCGAAGTCGAGAGCTGTCTTGACTTCGCCCACTCCACAAACGTATTGCTGTAGCGTAAGCATCCGCCTGAGATGAACAGGAAGGCAGCAAAGTAAGCCGAACATGTATTGCTCTGTGTGGTTTTTCCGCTCTTGTACAACTCCCGTTCACCTCATCAGGGCACGGTTTGGACTGCGCACGGTGTCCTCCCTGTTCCCGCACCAGCGACGCTTCGGCTGATGGTAGGGCTACCCACCTGCCCCGGACCAAAAAGGTGCCATGACCGTGGCCGTCGGAATGTTTCACACCATGTACAAATACAAATGAACAAATTCAAATGGTATTTGTGCGCGGCCGCAAATACCCGTTATTTGTCTGGAAAATATTTGCGCATGATCTTGACCCGGTGTTTGTCTGGAAACAAATGTTTGTTAAGATTCTGAACGAGTATTTGACTAGAGACAAAGATTTGCACACGATTCTGAACGAGCGTTTGTCGAAGAGACAAATATTTGCACACGATTCTGAACGAGTTTTGTCTGGAAACAAATGGTTGCTCACATTCTGCCGAGAGTATTTGGCTGGGAACAAATACAAGAATAATAAGACATGAGACCTCATCCAGAGGGTATTTGGCTGGAAACAAAACAAAACAAGAATAATTGCACATGACACATATGAAGTAATAGGGATGCGTGCTAAGTGCCAACTGCTCCGCAAGTGTATAGCGCCTCTTACTTCTTCCATGGTATAGTCTATGCGTCATGCGTATACGTAGCAGAGCACGGTCGTCGAAAATCCCAGTCTAGAGGTGTTTGCACGTGGTGATTGGACATACCGTACATCATTGTTCGGCTGACGTGCGGGAAAGGTGTTTGCTGGTGCTCGCGCAAATAGTTGATATTACTTCGCAGCAACGTGACGTACGAGTTGGGCAAATTGCTCTGATGTACTTTTATAATTGTGCAGGAGTAGGTAGGGGAGATCGCTCTTCAAGTTGGAGATCGAGAGTTACCTGTTTGTTGTGGTTAGACATATGAAGGGGGGGGGGGGGG